ATCCCTCCGATTAGTAATGACCTCAGAACGGAAACATGGCTTGTCATAGCTTTATAATTTGAACTTGCAAGAACAGTCTTGGGTTGAATCGAGAGTGTTTGAGTAAAAAAAAAAGTTTCTTCACTTCCCTTATGAATTTTAAGCTATTACTCCCATCATTCCGCCACCCCCGGTGATCAAAGAAGTGGTGGGTAAGAGAGGGAGAGATACGGGGAGAGGATTAACGGCTCACAGGAGGATTGGAGGGAGGGATGGAGTTAGAGGATGAGGAACAGATGACTCTGGAAGAGAGACAAAAGAAATCAAAGAAAAATTGAAATGGTGCATGAGCTCCTTTGTGCTTTGAATTTGACAGTTAACTGGCGCATACGTATATATACACAAATATCCGATCACCGACACAGCCGTTCCATCGTGTGTGGTACAAACTAGGTCTCTGTTCTCCTCCATATCCTTTTGTCCCTCCTCTTCACTGTTTTAATTCACCCTTTTCTACTCCTCCTCATCTTCTCAACTCTGTTGGTTCAGCTCTCCTCTTCTTTTGCCTCACATCATCTCTCCATTTCCCTTCTTTTCCTCAACATATATAAAATCATCTCGTCTCCTCTCCCTCTTCTTACTTCTTTGTTCTGCTCTTCCTCTTCTATGTTGCCTTTACTCTTTGTTTTTCCTTTCACTCTCCATCTCCCTTTCCTCTATTGTCCTCTCTTCTCCTCTCCTCTCCTTTATTCTTCTTTCTTCTCCTCTCCTGTCCTCTTCTTCTCCTCCTTTCTCTTGTATTCTTCTTTGTTCTACTCTTCTGTCCTCTTCTTTTCCTCCTCCTTTTCTCTCCTCTTCATTTCTTCTCCTTCTCCTCTTCCTCACCTCGCCCTCTTCCTCCTCTCATTTCCTCTTTCTCTTCCTCTCCTCTCATTGTTACACTTTAATTGGAGCTGGAAGCCTCGAGACAAGAAGCTCAATGTGCGTCAGGCTGACAGGCAGAGCCGTTGGCTTCTATTAAGCTTTAATAAGTGAGCAGGATTGGAAGAGGGAGAGAAGGAGCTGAAGGGAGGAGAAAGTATGCGAGCTACTGTCACCTCTCGGTGGGATGCAGAGGAGCCCGTCTGCTGTCACACAAATGCATAAACACACACACACACACACTTACCAAAATCTCTAATCATCCCGCATCTCATTTTCAGCTTATTGCCACTGGCTATGTGTGCATCCAAAAAAGAGTTTTATGTGTGAGATAAAAGAAACTGACAAAATAATTTGAGTGTCCATGTCAAAAACAGAGAGCTAAGGAAGTGTGTTTTACAGAAATGCACACACAGCCAAACACTAACACACACACACATGTCAAGTCCTCTCCTCCGGCATGGAGATGACAGCAGTATTAGTTCCCAGTGCTGAATTTAATCTGAAGTGCCACACAGCAACCCTGGACCACAGCTGAGGTGTAGATGTTAGAGGAATATCTATATCCTCTGTCGCTGAATGCGGCTAGAACAATTCCATCTGTGATGTGAGTGAGAGAAATTTGTGGTTTTCTCCCCCCATCATGTTGCCGCCTTGTTCAGAATTTTTATGCGGTCGCAGCGCTTAGTTTTTGTTTACAAAGTCATCAAGGCTGCGGTTTACTGAAGAAGAAAAAAACATCCAGCCATGAATCAATTCATTTCCTGACTCCCTCAGTGTGTGTGTGTGTGTGTGTGTGTGTGTGTGTGTGTGTAAACTACAAATGAACATGCTGGCAATGTAACCTCCAAATGCCTTTCTTTGCGTCGCATATGCTGCCCCCCCCAAAAACGCCCCTTTTACCGACGAGAGGAGCAATAATGAAATTGAAGCTGGCAGTCGCTCCAAACTGAATATTGGCCTGAAACGTGGAAATAAATACAGCCGGAGTGTTTAGGCAGCGGCATGTTTAGGCTGCTACAACATAGATGCCAACAATGTGTTCAAGGAGAAAAAGAACTTCCAGTGAACAAGTGCCAAAGTCTATATAAACACAAAGGAACATGGCTGCTTACATTAATACACAAAGACTAAAAGGACGTCTGCGCTGGTTAGCCTGTGTGTAACCACAAGCTGCTTGTGCGACACTGAAGGGATGAAGTAAGGAGGATATATGAGATCCAAATTATGAGCTGCCATCTGTGTGCGGAGCAATTTTGAGATACTGAGCAATTAAGTTTTTACATTGTTTTGTGTGAAAACCAACCTCCTGAGTAAATATTTATATTCTGTTAAATAAATACTTTAAAATGCAAACCTCAGGATTATTTTTGACGATAAATCATTCTGAACCATCCAATTTTAGCCCAAAATATTTGATGGAAATACATTATCCTAGGATTAATATTCATGAGCAGTATTAAACTAATTGGAAGAAGAGCAAAGAAAATTTTAAAAGGAAATGTATTTACATCAAACAAACGAAAAAAACACATTTCAATTTAAGATTAAATCCAATCCTGTTGATAAAACGGGATCTCTGTTTATTCAGAGGGGTTTATCTGAGGATGAACTGAACTGAACTGTGCATGTCACATAATTAACAGCCTGTAACTAAGGCCTGTGTCCACATGTATCATTGAGTGTATTGGATTGGTGAGAAAGGACTAATTAATACTGAAAAGGACATTGATTGACCAACAAGGCCAGTTGATTAACGCCAGGTTTCAGTCAATGGAAACTGCAAACTTGCCCGAGAGTGATGACATCGATTGTGTCAAGGGTCCATTTTTCAGAGTTATAAGAAGAAATTGTAAGTGGCAAAGGATTGATGAATAGTTTAACATCATTTTGGTCATTTGTTATCTGGACATTTGAGAGTGCAGTGACACTTTAAGGCCACAGCGCAGATTTCCTGGCTGTGAACCAGCTGTTTGAATAAAGGAATGAACACACAGACAGATCTGTGAGGTTTTACCTGAGGCTATGTTTTTGTTTCTGTGATATATTTTTAGCCATGCTAGCAACACGTCTTCAGTGAAGGAAATGCTAGTCCACCACCAGCTGAGTGACTTTGATGATCCCTGCTTTTCCTTTTAGTCGGACTGAAAAGTTAAATGGGTTGCCATGAAAGTTTGTAAAGCAGTCATGACAGGTACCTGATGATTTTTGGTTACGAATACCTTTTCATCCAGGGTTAGGGTTATAGTTCTGTCCTAACCTCAACCAGGATCAACCAAAATGTTTTTAATCACATTGACCTAACAAAGTTCAATCTACCTTACCAAGGCTTGGTGACATATTCCAAATCTCAACCTTGTGTCTGAGGCGTAAAGATGAAGCGCTCCAACGATGTGCAGATCCAGTGATTGGGAAGACAACTGTGACTTCTCTTCTTAGCTGACTCATTTGAACTTCTGGGGCAGGACTTCCGAAAGCATAAGGAACTCTGAGTGACATGCAACATCCTGTTTATGTGTAGAATGTGATTTACACATCATGAGGTTCAATTTATTTTTAAACATGCAACAGTTTTGGATAACAAGAAGACTTGATTTGCAAAGTCATCGGGTTAAAACTGAGGGAGAGTTGAACCTTCCATAAAGTCAAAATTTGTCCCGTACTGTGATAACTTCTTTTTCCTGCTCTTTCTTTTTATATATTAAATAACATTAATGTGCTTTTTGTATTGATACACATTTTTTTCAGCAAAGCACAGTTGTTAGCTCCAACTGAAAGAAAATAACTGTCTCTTTAGTAGCTGTGTCATTGTACTTACTTTAACCCAGATTCGATGACTAGATTGTTTTGTGGTTAAGAGTTGTGAACTGCCCTTTTATTTGTGCACGCGAGCACTCCGGCTCTGCACTGCAGTTCAGCTCTCTCCCACAGGGTTTTAGCTGCTATTCCACAGCTTAATGTCAACGTGTAGACTGAAACATTATTATACAAACCCACAGGCCACATTAATTAACCACCAGGCTGTCTGATACAAGAGCGGCCGCACCACAACCAATTCCATTTGTCCCCATTAAAAATGAATTTGTCAGACAATAAAGTATGTTTGTTTAAAAATGTGTTCTCAGTACTTTCATTTTCCCTCTGTTTCTTCTTCCTGCCTCTTTTCTGCACTGTGTGTAAATGACTAAGTGGGTCCCAATGTCTTTTAATGACCTCCATTCATTTTCTGCGAGAAAGGATTTATTTTGCTGTCCTTGTGGAGACAGTCCTCCCTCTCTTTTGCTATTGGTGTTGTAAGTTAACAGCCATTACTGTTTGTCTAAGGCCCCAAATGTTCGAATTTGCTTCAGGCAACTTCTTCTCTGTAAAACCTTTTTCTTTCATCTGCTTTTCTCCAATCTGCTTCCCCTGGCACATTTTCATTGTGTTGCTTGGTGTTGGTCCCAGGAGCTCACACTGCAAAGAACGACGTCTCTGCTGGCATTTTCCTAATTGATCCATGGCAGCTGTGGTCTAGTTGTGTTCATATCCTCAATTATTCATAAAACAGTTATCTCCAAGAGACTTCATCACATGTTCTTAATGAAACACAGAAAGTCACAGTCTTCTATGGCGACTTATGTTCATCATTATGTTAATTCGTGGAGACTTCGGCACATAGATGCAACAAGGAAGAAATACTAGCATAGTTATCTGAGCAAAAAGCAGCACGTATACCACATATTGATTGGCAGTAGAATAGATTTTCATGGTTTGAAAACTTTTACGTTATTAGTCAGTGTTACTGCCAGACTTGGGAACTCACCCCATAAAGCTAATGTTGTGAAACATGTAAAGGTTGAAAGCTATTCTTAATCAAGAAGACTGTTATTACAGAGATTAAAATCACCATCCACTTTATTTAATGAAGGCAATTAGGCCAAAGATACCTTGGCTGGAGAACACATAACTATTCCCACCCAGAGAGTGGAGAGAGAGAAAATAGGCCACTCATTCCATTTGTTAACTCCTGCATGTTTAATACAGGAAATACTGACGCTGTTCGATGTTTCCACCAGCTGACCAATAATGTGTTTTATTTGTGGTTTCTCTCTTTGCAGGGATGCTGCTCCAAGAGAGTTTCATCGAGGAGCCTGACGGCCTGGTGTCTGTTAACCTGCTGGTGGTGTCTGCGGTTTCAGCTTTCGCAACAGGAGCCATCCTCTCCGGCCTCACCGTCTGCTGGATCATGAGTCACCGCCACCGCCACTCCCGCAGCTCTGGAGCCAACGGCGCCCGCCGCAAAAGTGACAAAGAGCAGAGCATGCTGGGGCAGGGCCGCAGCGGCTCTGTAATGAGCGTAACGCGAACCAGCGGCGGAGAGAGGCGGAGATCGCAGGCAGACAACCCCTTTGTCATGCCCAACGGCTGGCCTAAAGGAGAAATGGACCCAGGATTGTTGCCGACCCCGGAGCAGACTCCACTGCAGCAGAAACGGGGCATGCGTCTTCCGGACACTGACTGGGACCAGAGCCAGACCTTCCTCACCGCTGTGGGGACGCCCTGCCCCAATAACTCTGTCATCTACCTGAGCTCCAAGTACCTGCACGGAGGTGGAGGGGGTGGAGGGATGGTTCGGATAGAGGACCCAGGGGAAGTTGTGTTGCCCCTGCACACAGAGCGCCAGCGCTACCTGATCTTAGCCACCCAGAGAGGGGAACACGGTGGCAGTCGTCCCAGTGGCACGCTGAGGAACTCAGCGGGGGAATATATTTACCCCGCCACGCCACAGGACTCCCCCGACCGACGGAGGGTGGTTTCTGCTCCCACCCCCCACATGGACTATGGGGAGCCTCGCTGGAGTCACGAGGTGCTCAACTACAACAGCAACAATGGGGCGCCCTATCACGCTCAACGCCAGGGCCTCATCAGGCCAGACATGCATGGGCCTCGAGGGCTGGGGGAACTGGCTGACTTCAGCCATCTTCTAGTGAAGAACATGGGAGAGCGCACCCCTAGTGGCCAGTGAGGTGAAGTGTCAGAGTCCTGACACCAAACTCTCTCTGAATGCTCATTCCCTCCAACAGTAAACTGGAATAAGTCAACCCCTCAGACTCACTGTCCCCGGTCCAACCTTTCCCTGTCTGTCCTCTCTCACTGTCATTCAATGTTCAATGACGTCATTCAGCCGACTGAAGAGAGAGACAGAGAGAACAGAAACAGAGAGAGTTGAAAAGAGGAGAACGCTCTCCTCACGTCTCCGTTCCTCTGCTCTTAATCTGAGGCGCACCCCTCTACTCTGTTTGTGGAACGACCCATAGAGTGTGACTTTGAAACCACAGGACAAACAGTGCAGTACAGAGAGGGGTGTAAAAGGAAGGGGAATCTTCTAAAAAAGACTTTGTGGAGATTTAAATAAGAAGACGATTTCGCTTGTAGTACAAAATGTGAAAGATCTCCCTCCACCAACTTGTTCACTGTTGACCCATGACACGGTGTGAAATTTTTGTTTCTGCTTTTTAGTTTTTTTTTGTGCCAGTGGGCATCCAGAAAACAATGTGCTTTACTCTGGATTTCTAATGAGACAGACACTGTTGTAGCCTTGCCAGAGGGCAGTGACTCTCAATGAATCATGCAGTGTGTGTGTCTGTGTGTGTGTCTGACTGTGTGAATGTGTGGTCACGACAACCCCAACCAGTGTCCTGTCCTAACTGTGAAGAATAACTATATATTGAATTTTCTGTAAACAGTCACAGAGAGATAAATGTATTTTATTATGTGTCTCTGGATGTGTTTACCAATCAGAGGGGTGGGTTGTTGAAGGGTTGAGTAATTTTTTTGATTCCCAGTACCTCATGAGCAGCACTGGACAGAGCCATGATGAAGTGAAAGAGAGCAATAATGAGCAAGAAACATATACGGATGAAGATAAAGCCAATTTAATTTGATATTTTTTTATGATACTAGTTTACTCAGCAAAGCAAGCTAAAGCGCAGAAACGTCAGGAAGAGCAGAGCGCAGGGGAAAGGAACAATATCTCTGCTCAATTCTTCTCTCCCTCGCTCCCTCTCAGTATGCCTCGGTCTGTCTGACCTGACCTGAGGCCTCCCTGGGCTCCACAGCCCGTTTGAAAACGGGGGAATGTGAGCTGTGGCTGTCTGGCTGTCTGACTGAGGCTCTGAGGCTCGGCCGCTTGGGACCTACATTCAGCCTCTTCTGCCCGACACTGAGCCTCTTTGTGCCCCAGAAGCATGAGGAGACTGCGGCAACAAATAGCCGTTAAGAGTCAGAGACCTAGCCCAGAACCACAGCCTAGCAGAATATCAATGAAGAGGACAGCGGCTCCATCCGTCATGTGAGATGTACAGACCGGGCCTGGGCATCTCTTAATGCTTCACCCAGTTGCCAGGATAGGGAGGAGCTGAGAGCTGAAGCAGGGGGCTGAGGCCAGGGTTGGGGCACTGCTAACGGTCACAATGGTCATCCCTTGTGGTTTTATCCCTTTCTGTCATTCAGTGTGTTTCCCAACAAAAGCAGGATAAAGAACACAGATGGGCATGGGTATACTTGGGTGTGGAGTTACTCTTTCACTGCGTTGTCTTTTGATGTTTTCTGTTTTTTTGTCCGTTCTCATCCGTTCTTGATTCAGATGTAGATCCAGAGATAGTTTTAGTTCATCTGGGAAACACTGGTTGTTTTGTGTGTCTGCGTGCGTGTGTGAGTCTCTTAGGGCTTGTATCCATGAATGTGTTGCTCATATTGAGTGTGAAAAAACCTGCTTTGATCAATTTTATTGTCATTCTCATCCTCCTTCTTTTCTCTGTTGAGTCACTTTGCTTGACATTCACAAATCTGCGATAACACTGTCACAGCCTGGGATCAGTAAACGCTATACAATATTACACAGTGCACAAAGATGTGCAGATAAGACGGAGGTTATGGGCTGTGCTTCGTTGAAGGGACAGATGGTAGATACCAACATTATAAATTATAAAGTACAAAAACTAGGGCTGAGTATTGTTTGGAGTCTTTCTGAAAGTAATGCCAATATGATATGACACCTTTGAGAGCAAACATATGTTTCCACAAAACCCTGTTTTTCATTTAAAGCAAGTCTGCATTGCTCTGTGTTGTATTTTTGGCTTGTGACTCTGGTTTTGTGACCTGTCACGAAACATTCACTCTCACAGATCTCTCGTTTTTTGGCCTCATTAGGCAGCTGTTTTCAACAATAATGCTTCAATGATCAACGCTACCTGGCAGCAACAAAATCAGTGACTAGCTAGTGGGCATACTTTAACATTTAGCAACTAAAAAGCAGATATTTTCCCCAGGAGTGGTAGAGACCAAAAAATATCATTTGGGTATCATTTGAAATGTTTTTATAATTTGAAATAAGGCCAATATGATTAGGAACAAAACATTTATCAATGCCTTAAGTTGAGAAAGGTTTTTCGACAAAATACTTTTTAAACAAAGAAGACAAAGCGATGGAGCGTTGCACGCGGTCTTCAGCGTGGTGTAAATTCAACCATGATTAGATGTACATCACTCCAAGACAAAGTAAACAAGATTGTAATTCCGACCAGATATTTGACACCGGCTGACATTTTGCTTTTGATACCCTTAAAAGAAGACAGCCGAGAGTGTGAGGTGCAGCAGTGTAAGAGATTCACGAAGGCAATGACAGAGGAGGAGGTCAGGCAGGCGAGCATGATGTTACTGCATTACCGTCTCTCCACATGAGTATTGTGTATTCTTTACACATTCTACCCCGAAACAGGTCATTAGTATTGAGGATAGTGGGCTTTCCACCAGCCCGGCGCCTCATCTCTGTCTCTCTTTATCTCTCTCCCTGTCTACCCATCTCAGCCATGGCCTGCTTTATCTGTGTGTGTATGTGTGTGTGAATGAGGCCTCTCTGTCTCGGACGGTGTGCGCAGCCAGCCGTGTCCTCGCTCTGCATCTCCTACGGTGTTTCACTAAACATGCTTGATTAGGCAAAGTACATTCCCGGCCCTCTAATGGCCTGATGAGCCCCTAAGAAGATTACTACAGACACATCAACCCTGAGAGGGAGGTGCATGTTCAACCAGCTCTTTACCCCTCCACTAACCACCAGCCACACACACATGCATGCATGCGTTCACACACACACTTTGCAGGGCCCTTTAACCAAATACGGGACGCAATTGAATTAAGATCAGAAATAAAACTCACGCTTGAACTGGCCCGACACTGGCTGGTTCTAGGAAAGGTACAGTACACGATTCTATCTTACTGACTGCGTAATTTGATTACCTTAGCTCGGCATTATGGGGCAGCTAAAGAATTCAGAGGCAACCACATGCAGGTCTGTCTGTTTATTAAAGCCATCATCCTCCCTCTTCTTTTTATTTACTTCACGTCATTCCAGTGCCTCCTCTTTACAACAGCTGCACTTTGTCCTCTTCCTCCGCTTGCCCTTTTATTCTTAACAGACTCACTCTATCTCTCTGCACACACACACACACACAAACACACATATAGAATCCCCTTTCTCCTGTTTATCACTTTTAAAGGTTAGCTGGTTAATTTACTGAGCTGGTGACTAAAGCAGAAATCAAAGTAATTTCACAAAAAACTGCTTTATTTCACAATGCATCTTTTGTTAGACATTTTCAAAGCCGCTCTTATGGTAAATTGCTTTCCTTTGCTCAGAAATTATTTTGTCTGAGGTTTGTTTCTCTTTGTCCCCTGCCTCTACACATACACACTCACACACACACACACACACACACACACAAACAAACACACAATTCCCACCCAGCCCTCATGACCCAGCCTGTGTGTGTATATTGTTTTGTTTGTGTCTGAGGAGACCATGCCTTCGTGCGTTGGGGTTGTTCATGCCATGTGGCCCAATGATGCGATGCCCCCCACAGCCAATAACTGCCATCCCGCCCTGCAGTGCTCCGCTGTACTGTACTATATGTGCTCTATGCCCTAGAGAGAGTCCAGAAACGGAGCCTGACTTATATTAAATCCACCATCCATTGCAGCGAGGAGCAGTGAGATGACACTGCTCCCTTCCAAGTCAGCATCCAAGCGGAAAAAGCACAAAAAAAATCTGAAAACAAAATCAACATTTGCATTTTTGTAAAATTGTAGATGTATTTAGTCCGCACTGATCATCTTTGTCATGTTTGTTTTTCTATGGTTTGTTTCTGTGGTGGATATTTTGTTTGAAATTATATGGGATATTATTGTATATGATTTCAATTTCAATTCTCTGGTGTGCTGGATTTGATGACATCATTGAAGATGAACCTGATGACTATCATGATTGCTTTTGTGTTGACAGTGACAATGAAGCAGTACTGTGAGCAGCGCTGAGCTGTTGTGTTTGGACACTGAATCTTAGGTTTCAAAACAGACTTCTCTCCTGTAGAGTGGAGTCTCCTGCAACTGTGAAGGACCCCACTGCCCTGCAGCTCTGGCCAGAGTCTGGCCCGTCGTCGGCCCGGGTACCTTGGGGCACAGCGTCATCAGATGACAACACATGTTCCTACTACGTGTACATAACCTTGATGCTTACATGTAATTAAAGTGCCGTAGCTGCATGACGACACAGCCTCTGTGTGTGTACAGAAGTAGCGACGTGTGAATTTGTACAGTACATGCAAGTGTGTGTGCTTGTGTCCGCAAAGAAAATCTGTTTGTCGTCACGCAAAGAGCAACATGTGCATGCACCCTCCGACAACTGCCCAAAGCACACATACATTAGACCCATACACAAACACGCAGCAGTTGTTCTCCATTCTCCACATTGTCCTGAGCTCTGCCTGTCACTCCGCATGGAGACTTTGCTCTATGTCAACTTTCTTATTCTAATAAACCACTCAGACATTGACCTCTAAGTCTAATCATTTAGTTTCTTCTTTTTTTTTGCTTCTTTATAAGTTCACATTAGCAGTAAAAGAATTAGCATACTTACTAAATGATAAGGAAAACAAGATTTGTATCTGCTATCTCCTTGACTCCCTCAGTGGAGGAGGAAATATTCAGATACAAATCGTAAAAGTAAAAGTAGCAACAGCTAAAATTGTTTAAAAAATATGTACTGACTACCAATACATTTTCAGGACACTCATTCTATATGCTCTTCTGTTTCTGTTTGTATGAATCTATTTTATTATATCATTAGACCTACTGAAATAATTCAAAATTAAATATGAAAAAATGTAAATACATAACATATAGTAAATTATAAAAGTAAGTAGACTGTTTAATTATTGTATTACTCAAAAGTACATGTTTGTTTGAAGTATTTATTATTCAGGTAAGTACATTTTTATGTATAACCAAAGTAAGTACTAAAGCTGTCATATCAGTGTAGTGGAGCAGAAGTAGAATATAAAGTACCATCATATGTTAATCGTAAATATACACTATGTGGTATTTTCCACTGGAGTTACATTACTTTAATAGTATTAACTTAGTTCCTTAATTTAAAACAGCATCTGCAATATCCTGCAAACCTTATCACAAATTTACAAACACAGAATAAAATGACATGATGTTTAATATAGTAAGATGTCATCTGCAGTGAAAACGTGATGAAAATATCAAACTCAGTATATAATACTATATTGTGGCTAAACGGTTTTTTTAAATTATATATGAACTTATTCATGTTTTGAGAAAGAAAATCACAACCCTTTAAAACATATATATATGATAAAAAATGATTCATCCAGCACACAGTGTACTGAGCAGCATCACAACTCAAGCTGCACAGTAGCGTAGTACCATCACTACTCAGTAGAAGGTGCTGTTGCTTCACAAGACCTGGAATGAGGCTTGTGCATATTCAATAAAACATTCAGAAAGGAGTGTGATTCAGTGAGAGGTATTTCAATTACCTGCCACTTCATATTGCTACGTATGGACCTACATATACATCACTCCTTTTTCTTGACCCTCCTCACTGGACTCCTGCTTCTCCTCCTCCTTCTCCTCCTCCCTCCTCTGCTCCAACATCCAGCTCTCCGTCTCTCTGGGGAGCCCATCAGCCCATTTCACATCTGTTGAGTGGTGGAGGACCGTGAGGACCTGTCAGGGCCTCTCGTTCGCTCATTTTTTATGGGACTGAAGCCCTCCAGAGCTGGAGGGCTCCAGTCATTGCGATGCAGGAGGAAGAGTGGTGGTGAGAGAGGATGGCCCTGTGTCTAATTCCACAGGAGCACTGTGGGATTTTTCTTCAATCTCTTCTGCAGAATATATCCAAACTAAACCTAATCCTAATTTTAAACCTAACCCTTATTCTAATCCTAACCCTAAAACTAAATCCTAACCCTCAAAAAAACCCTCCTGAAAAATTGAGGACCGGTCAAAATGTCCTCACTTTCCAAAAATGTCCTCACTCTATAGGGTCCTCACAAAGACATAAGCGCAGGCACACACATTCACACACACACTTGTAATGATGAATCTGATTAATGAGGAGGTTGAAACAGTGCCAGTCGGTACTCTCCTCAATTTGACTCCCTTCTCCACAGCTGAGCTCCACATAAATCTGAGTCAACATATTTCTCCATCTCAGTATTTAAATTTCAAACACACACTTTTTATCATCGAGGTTTAGTTCCTTCATTATTTTTCTACTCTGGAATTCAACAAGACTACCTGAACAGCCACAATGTTGCTTGGCCGTGACTGTGATAGATAACATGTTGATGTAAACCAGGTAATATTTGACAGCACTAAACACAAATTCCAATTTAGGCTAATGGGAATGTCACTAGCTCTGCAGGTATTCAGCCATACACCAACAATGAAAATCTGACCTGTTGGTTGCACTTAATTAAAATTTAAGGTGGATCATCAAAGTGTTTGGGATTCATGCGTCTAATATTTTCAGAGATTTCACTCAAAACCACAGATGTCAACCTCAAGGTGGAAGCAGACAGAAAAGTATGGATAACCTGTCCCTGAGATTTACTGTCTGAGAACCATGATGGTGCAACATTTCATGGGAATCCATCCAAATACTTCAGTCTGCACCGGAGTGTTGCTCTGACAGACAGATTGATGTCACCATGTCTGGACTGCGGCTAATAACTGGCAGCATTGCTGTAAATCTATGAAGTCGTGATCTGAGCTGATTGTGACCGATTACACTGCCTGTACATGAAACAATGAGTCAGTGTTCGACTGTGACCATGACCAAAAGGAATAATAGAGGTAAAATGAAATGAGTTGGGGAAGCACGGTTTAATCTGAGACGTGTGACTGTTTCTCCGCAGGGTTTAATATGGAATCATTCATAGAGACAGAGGGGCCAGGTGCTAAGAAGTCGGAAAAGGTCACTCAGCCTTGTGTGTTGCATCAACAAGAACTTAATTAATCAGTGTAATTTGTAAACAACTGCATGAACATGTTGTACTGCATGCAGACGCCCTCGTACACACACACACACACACACACACATACACACACACACACCCAGCTACATGTGAGTGTGGCCATGAGACACCTACCACATTAACATACTTCTCCTTTTCGTCTTCTTTAAAAGTAAGTAACCAGTCCTACTTGCTTCTAAATAAACTTAAAGTAATAGAAGTAAAAGTAGTTGCTGTAATTGTTGTATTCCCTCTTCCGAATCCATTTGAGTGAAACAAGTTCCAATGTTACCTGCCCACTGTGATTGGATCAATGAACCAATTTCCTTTTTGTTATTAATTATTTTTTTAAATATAATAAAACAATGTGGCCGTGTAAAGTGACGCATTTTTAAAACGTAAAAGTAATTAATTTGCTGATATAAAAAATCTACTTCAGTAAAGTATATATTCATGAAAAATGTGCTTAAGTAGAAAAACACATTCTATGTTACATCACTGTTCTTTAGCAAATTTAAAACAACCAGAGTTGACCAAAGATAATTCAATGAACATATATTATAATGAAATTAAATAAAAGGCTAAAAGTTGAATTTAAAAACAACTGAGGACAATAAAAAACGTGGGCGTCTTGAGTCTGCTCTTTAGAGGAGAGGAGTATGTCTTAGTAGAAAATATTGACAAAAAATATTTCTGATGCTTTGCAATAACAATCTTGACCAGCAGGGGGCAGTGTAAGCTTTGTGGAATGAAAAACACACTCTCCTTCCTGAGGCTAAATTTAATTCTTCCCTTTTTGTCCTTGTGTCTCCTCCAGCTTTAAATGAAGATGGACTTAGTTGCAAATCAAATCAAAGCAACCAATTCAAAGCACTTTTCACAATTCTTAGTATTTCACATTTTATCAGGACATTCTTTAAATATTTTACACCAAATGCCTTGAATTAGGAATCCAATTGACAATTATGTGGAATTGATGAGAGGAAATACAGCAATAAGGAGGAGATAATGAAATAAGAAAACTGTAGTAAAGAGAGAGAGAGAGGAAGCCTATGTGTAAACAGACAGGCCCATAAAATCTGATTTGGCAGTTTGAGTGGGAGTGGAGTGCCCCCAGGTGGACATACACGGACTTTATAGCTCATTATGGTTCACATTAAAAAGGTGTAAGTGTCTCTGCATGGACTGAGAGACGTGTGGTAATGTTGAGCTTTATATCGTCAGGGACTGGTTGAGTTTTGAAGACATGTTAGTGTGTTACACATTAGCAGGTGACAGATTATCAGTGCAGGTGTTGGAGTGCGCTGAAATCATTTTTAATTTCAATTCAAGTTTTTAATCTCACCTTAATTGTAGCTGTTCTTGTTTCAGTTGATTCATTAGTTCTTGTTTTAGGTGATTTATTTGTTTGAATTGACTCATTTGCTTTACATGAAGTCAAATGTTCTGTAATTATTCCCAAGGCTTTTAGTATTGCTATTGTTTTTGCTATTTTGAACATTTTACTGTCCCTTATTTGTGTTTTCTTTGAGTGTTTTTTTTATTTTTCGTACAAGGCTGTGTTGCAAAGGAGGTCTGTACCCCTGAACCTCATATATATTAATCAATCAATCAATCAATCAATCAATCAATTAATTCATAAATCAATCAATCAATGAAAATGAGGAAAAGCAAACCTTATGTAATTACAGATTGTTAGTCAGGACTCTGTGGGGGGAATCCTGGTCACAACTGTCCACATGGAGGTCATGGTGCCATTACAGGGATGAGTCCCTAACTTAACATCTTAATGTTATTTCTTGTAAAAACGTGACGACTCTGCATTCTTAATTATTTTTCCGTGCAACCTTGCATTGGGTGGTACAAGAGGCCAGTTCAGTTCAGTTCATTGCAGTAAGATAAACTCTGAAGTTGCCCTCAGCTGACCACATATTACATTCACTTTATTGAAACAGCACTCCGCCTGTGCCTCACAATCCCCTCCACTGATCCTTTACATCTCACCATCTTATAATCAAACACGTCTCTCCATTCAGTCAAACAAAACCGCTTTAGTAGCCATTAAATATGATACAGCACCTAAAGGACAGGCATAAGTCACCAGACATCATAATTTGACGATCTCAACTATTATACACATCATTCACAGAAATTTACAATAATGATGATGGAGATGGGAAAATGAGGCTATTTACCTTCTAAATGGCTCTGTAATTTGTCTGTGCCTCCTCCTCTATGTGATGCTATTTGCAGGAGGTTGATTATTTATTTTTATACAGTTTATGCAGTTTTGCTCAGACAACATAATGAGACGGAGAGCTTTTGACAGAATAAATGGTTTTTGCATATCAAAGTGTCTGTGGCAGTAACACAGTGACTCCAGTCTGACTGACAATACTGCGAGGAGCGAAATTGTGCCCAATTATCCTATAATCTGATATTATATCATTAATGCACTGCAGTGTTCAGGGTAAAAAAGAAAAAGGTAGCTTTGG